AGATTATGCGTTTTCTGTTGACTAATTCTGTACGCTTTTCGTCAAGTGCCGCTTTCAGTTGGTGTAACTGGGAGCAGTACTTGTTGGAGTTAATTGTTCGGTTTTCCGAAAGGAGCTCGTAATAGAGAACTTCCTTCCAATCCTACCATATACACAATATCACCTTATTTGCATGAAGACCGACCAGCCTTTAGTGTGGTTGGTGGTGGTTCATTTCACTTGCCCCATGGTGTCTTCTGTTCCACATTTATTGCACAGTATCCACTTTCCATCACCCGTCACAATTTGTTTTAAAAATCGAACGTTTTCATTACGTTTAACTAGAGAATCGCATGCGGACACATGGTCAAGGTTTTTTTCATTTAACTTATGTGGAACCCAAACATCAAAGTGATTAACATAACCAAGCTGGTGCAAATGATTTTCAACGCTTGATTTAGATACTTTGAGTATGTTGGCTATCTCCTGCCTGGTATAACGTTGATCGTTCTCAATTAATGTCTCGATTGCTATCAACTTCAACTGGTCAGCCTGACTGTGGAGCATTGTCTAATGAGGAATCTCCAGCACGAAACTTCACAAACCACTTTTGACAGGTTCAGTCAGTCACAACACCTTCTCCATACGCTGCACAAATCTTCTTTTGCGTTTCAGTCGTGTTTTTACCTTTCTTGAAATAATAAAGCATAATAGGCCGAAAATGTTGTTTTTCTTCCACCTTCAATATTAAAATGGTTACACAAAAATTAACCAATTTTGATGTCTTTTTTTAAATGCATGCTGATATGACAGCTGTCACATATAATCTAACAATTGTTTCGAATGAAATTAAAAACAACTAAGTGCTACTAGAGCCATCTTATGGGAAAAAACGAACGAACCTTTTGGCCAACCCAATACTTTAGAGTATATATTGATAAATAAAAGGAAGAACGCTCCCTGTCCATTGTTTTTTTTAAAAAAAAAATTCCTGGTTATTGAGAATTATTCTTCTATGTAAACTTAAAATCAGGCTTTCAAGTTCCACTAAAATTTCAGTGGGATTTTAATTGATTTATATTGGCTTTACATATTAATTTGAAAAGTTTTTTTTATAGCATTGTATCCATTTAAATATGGCATATTCTTCTAGTCAGTTATTTTTGACTTTAGGCAAATTATTATAAATTTTTCTCCTCTGTGGGACGCACTCCTTTCTGTTGTTAAAGTTTATTTCCAGGTATTTAATACCCTTGCTTAGTAACAGGGATTTTTCTCCCACAAAGTACTATTTAAAATTTTTCTCATGATATATATATCATTGGGAACATTGGAGAAGTATGTAATACAACCAGTTTATTACAAGCATTTATTTTGGAATATTTCCTTCTAGAAATATTTGTATGATCAGCAAATAAAATCAGAAACATACCAGATGGTCCATATGTGCAATTTGGTTATCAGTGATGTATATAGTATTTGTATTTGCTAAAAATAAATCCACTGAACTTGTCTTAAATTGAGTGCTCTTTAAGAAATATTTGTCCTTCTCCAGTTACAAAGTCATAATTGTATAAATATCTGAAATGTGCAATGTAGGAAAATGGAGGTTCTCTGTATCTGCCCCCCTCCCCCGCCTCTGAGAACCCTAACTACTTTTAACAATTTGGTGTTTATTTTTCCAGACAATATTGGCGCCATCCTAGATGTAACATTTCTTTCCCCACTTGCAGTATTTTCCCAACTTGCAACATTTTATCCCACGTCATTAGAAATTGATGTACTTTTGTGTGTGTGGCTACATGGTATTTTCCACAGTATTTTCTTGAACAGATGTTCAAATTTAACTGTTCATCTATTGGGTTATTTTTGCTGTTTACAAACATTTTGAAATGAACACTTTTACATAGGTAACAGCCCCTTGTTTTTGAGTATTTCTGTAGATATATTCCTAGAAGTATATTTGCTTGGTCAAAGGATATGCATATTTACATTTTTAACTGCCCTTCAAAAAGGTTATACTCTTTCAAGCCTGTACTAACACTATGTGTGTGACTGCTTCCCCACACACTCTCACCAACATTGGGCATTTTTAATCTTATGACTATCAAGATAAACCTGCTTTAATTGCTAGTGAAGTTCACTTAACATAAAATTATGTATAGAAGTTAGCCATTAAACCTCTAGCCTGGCTAGAAATACTTACAATCTTTAATGCAGGGATATTGTGTTTCCCGTAGAGCCTTACAGTTGTTACTGCTTCACAACTGGGATACAAACTCCAGAGAATACATGAGAGCATCATATACCACGTCAAACCAACAAATGTTTGGTACTAAGAAAAAAAGTTAAGTCCTGTGATAAACTTGGGCCATACTAACACCACTAACTCTCTTTCCCTTGACCAGTCATTGATAGTTTGCTTTGTCATCTCAATCCTCAATCGATTGGGCTGTAGAAATATTGCAATTTGATTTAGAGTTCAAGCGAATAAAATGGCTGTCAAGTTATTAGTCAGCCCCTTTTCAAAATATCTTAATAGTTTGTGAAAAGGAACTTCGTCAAGGCTTTATTAGTTATTAATCAAGATACTCTGATGTCTCATATTCGCACTCAATATAATTTTTGCATCTGTTCCTTTTTTTCCAAATCTTGGCTTGATACCGAACCTTTCCTCAAGTTTTAAGAGTTGGTAGACTTTATAGACTTTAGTTGGTAGACTTTATATATGGTAGACTTTACAAAGCCCAGCTTGGATTTAAGTCAGGGCTTCATTACTTAGCTGTGATCTTGAGCATTTTTAGCTTCTCTGAGAGCCCTTATCTTACCTGGGATAATAATGGTACCCACCTCAGGGGGTTATTATGAGGATTAAATAAGTTGTTGGTATATAGTAATACAAATTTTTTAAACTTACTGTTTACTATTATCTGTAAAAAGGATAGAATGGTTACTCTAGCAAGGTAAATGCACATAAGTGATTTAAAGTTTTTTTCCTCTTCCAAATCACCAAATAAGAAATCACTTTAACAGTGTAGCTGAGTAGAAGCCAATATAAATGCTTTATCATCTTAGTTTGAAGTCATTGAAGTTTGCCAGAAAGTTAAATACTCTGAGATAAATATTACACTAAAAACCCAGAAATAAGCACTTTGGTATTGATGTAATATAACTTACCAATTTATATTTTTCTCTTATTTTTGATATTTCCATGTCCAAGTTTAACCTCTAAATTTAGAGCTTTGCAGCTATGGCTACAAATATAAAATAAAATGGAGAATTAAAACAAATTATCATTCAGTCACAAACCACTCCTTCAAACAGCCTCGTAACACTGTCAAGCTGAAATTATGCAGCAACATTTTGTCTTCATTAGAGCAGTCCTGCAGTCTGAGGGAGACAGACTTAGAGATGTTACAACTCCTAGAGTCCTAATTACTAGTTAAAAAGTTTGACACACTTTGAACTGCATACTTACTAGACTTGAGTTTAAGATGTAGCTTCTGAAAGAAAGATGGTTTTATTTCATTAGGAATGGATTGGAAAAGCTATATTGATGAGAGCTTTCTTTTGCTTTAAATAAATTTTGGAACAAGGTGACGTGGATAGTCAATAAAGGGCATAATCTTCTACAGGTAACATATCTAATATGCAGTCAACTTCAAAATTAGCATTTTTCCTGAGACACTCTGCCATTTAATTGTCAACACTAATGAATAAGAGATTTAGGAGATTTTTATAGTAATCTGATGTGGAAAGAAAGGTGTAGCTGGCTAGGCACTACTGAAAATATTTCCCTCAACAATATAGCTATTATGCTTCTGATTTTCCCAACAGCCTTATAACTATGACATGTGCAAACTAACAGAACAAATGCTATCTGCTAACTCCATGATAAAAATACTTGAAACTTGCCACTTTTACAATTGCCTAGAAATCTGCTATTATCACCCAAACTCTCTAGGATCTATAAGGGAACAGTAACAATTAAAATTTTTTTTTCCAACTTAAATAAAACTAATCTCCCTTGTGATGCCAGGTACCCCTAGGAAAATATGCTCAAGTTTGAATAAGCATTCACGATAAATCTCAGGAAAAAAAAATAGTAGATATGGTTTAGAAATATATTATAAGTTGCCTATGGCTTATCAAAGAGTACAATAACATTAAAACCACAGGCCTCTAAAGTTTAAAAGTAAGTTTTCTGTTGAAGTTGCAGACATTTTGAATTCCACATACTTCAAACCTTTGAGAGCTATGTATCCTTACGATTTGTGCACTTTTTTCTGGTAGTCTGTACATCAACAGAATTTATCAGCAAACACAACAGAAATATCTGGAACAGCCAAGGACATCCAATGATTTATTAGCAAGTTGTGATTTTTCTGGTAAGTTAAGACTAGAAATCTAAAGATGTAGGTAACGAGAAAACATAATGATCTTTTAGTTTTTAAAAATTTACCTTCGGGAAAAAACCTAAATTCTTATATCTTTTTTTCTCTTTTCGTAGTTCAAGTACACTTATGAGACTGATGGCATTACAGTGGTATAAATATGGACTACTGAAGAATCTGAAGTACTGTACTATTTGGCTTTATTTTAGACCTCTAATAAAGACTTTAACATGTTGAAAAAAAGCACAAGGCACAGAGATTAGCGTAGCTATAAGAACATTTCTGCTTTATGCCATGGCACTAGGCATATAAGTCAGATGTCATATCAAAATTTGTACAGGCCAAATTCTTGGTTAGGAAAATCCTACATATAGTGACTCTAATGGTTGAAAGATGTTTCATTATATTTATATTTTCAATTATCTACTACTAACAAACTTTAGACGTTTTATATGAATCTTTTGATACTATAGCCTTTGGGAAAGGTATGGCTAATAAAAAGTCAGTTTTTTAAAGAAAAGTTAAAATTGTTAGTTTTTTCTTTGCTAAATATTTAATTAAACATATGGAAGTGAGATACCCTTTGCCCTTTCTCCCTTTTTATGCACAGAACAGAAGCACACATTGTCATGCCTCAAACTACTTTTTATTTGCAACTACATGATTTCACGCAATTCTTCTAAACAATGACATAAAATAGATTTCCTTGTGTATAAATAACTTACATACTCTCCATAAAGTAAATGCTCAAAGGTGCTAGAACAGATCGTCCACTCCTACAGTGTTCTCATATCCAACAGAGTTGATGCACAATATATAAATACTCAAGTCCAATATTAAAAACTCAGGCACTTGACTAACTTTAATAAAGTTTCTCAAACTATATCAATATATCTAAAGTGCATATATATTTTTTAAGAAAGATTATTCTCAATAACTTCTCTATAAAAATAAGTTTGATGGTTTAGCCCATCTAACTTTACTACTTTGAGTATGAACTTTTAATATGCAGTCAGGCTTATTCTACCTTCTCTCAACATGACACCAACAGAATCAAAGCAGCTAGTGAGGTGCTAGCATGTGAGGATTAATCCAGTGATTCCGGTCACAATGCATTCCAGGAGGAGGTACCCATGTTACTGGAATTGGGCGATATGGTTTATTCTTCCTTCCCTGATTTGGATAACCAAATGGAACAGGAGGAGGGTAGTGACTTTGATGACCATTCCCTCGGTACATTCCTGGTTTTTTTCTGGGTAAAGGGTGCCACATTGGAAGAGGTGGGAATATCACCTCTGAAATCTGTAAAGAAGCGAAAACAGTAAGTTAATAAAAAGAAAAAATTAGTCATGTGTTATATAAAAACTAGGTGACCTTCCAGATTACTCATTAAAGAAAAACAAAATCACCCACCCACAACCCTAAGAGTAGGTCTAAGGCACATTACTACAATCAAGTCTAAATATGTTAAAAACCTCAAATATAATAGGTGATCAATCAACGTTTTTTCACTAAATGAGTGAAAATGAATAAACTCAAACACAGCACTCTAAAGCAACCGGATATTTTCTGGCTATTTCAACCAAAGAAGATGAAAACACAGAATGAACAGAAGCTTGTAAGGACACATCATGTTTTAGACCACTGGTTTCCACAGCTGGCTGAAGAGTCACCTAAGAAGCTTTTAAACACAAAATGTTCATGCCCCAGCCCTGGTCTACTGAACAATATTAACAAAACTTTAGGAAGAAAGGCCAAGTATTTTGATGACACTGCAGGTGATTCTAATGTAGCCAGTTCAGCATTTTGGAAAACGGTCTTAGGTTATCCCATAAGTCAAGTGGGACATCAAGTTCACATCATTCAAAATGTTATCAGCAGTTTCAGACCTCTCTGCTCAGAATGCCACACCCTGTGACTATGAGTCTCAGAGTTCTCTGATTTCTAATTTGCTCTTCCTAGCATAGGCATTTAAAAATTGATATTCTGTGTAACAGCACTGCATTCATGATAGAAAATTCAAAAGGTACAAAATTGTATACAGTGGAAAAAAGTCTCTTTTCTTTTTGTGATTACCAGCTACCCTCTCAGAGGCAGCTGACACCAATCAACTGTTTGATCATCTTTAGAGATATTCTGTGAATATACTTGGTATACATCTATATACACATTTATAAAAACTCACAAAATTCTGTATACTGCTTTTTGCACTTGATAAATACATCTCAGAGACATTCATCTCAGTACATAATGACTTTTTTGGTCATTTTACAGCTAGTAATGCAATGACTATGCCATAACTAAATTAACTGGTGTCTTGTTGATAGTACATTTAGGCTTCTTTCAGTCTTTTAATATCAAAAAATGCACAAAAGCAAACGAAACAACGCAGCAGTGAATAACTTTAGCACAGTTAATTCTTGATTATCTACAATAATGGGGAAATAAAGAATTTAGAGTTCAAACTAATTGACCAATACTACAAACCAGTAGCAAAGTGGAATGTTTTCATTTCTTTGTACATTGGGGTGTTGATAAGCTTTTAAAACTGTCAGAAAGACACAATCCCACAGACAACCACTGATTTTTATCACCAGACTGAGTTTTCCCTGTTTGTGAACTTAATATAAATGGAATCATGTGGCATGTATTCTTTTGTATCTGGCAAAAATTTTTTTTTTGCCACACCGCCTGGCTTGTGGGATCTTAGTTCCCCAATCAGGGATCAAACCCGTGCCCTCCGCAGTGAAAGAGGGGAGTCCTAATCACTGGACCACCAAGAAATCCCCGGCAAAATTCTTTTGCTCAATCAGATGTTTTTTAGGTCCTTCCGTATTGTGTCTATTATTAGTTCTTTCTGTTTTAATGCTATTATCCTACTGTGTGAATGAATACACAATTTCCTCCCATTCACTTGTTAATGGGTATTTGGGTTGTTTTCCTTTTTTTAATTAAACGATTATGAAAAAAGCTGTTATAAACATTCTAATATGAGGCTTTGTAGATATTTGTTTTTTTTCATTTCTCTTGTTAAATGCTTAGGAGTGGAACTGTTGGGTTACAGGGCAGATGCATATTTAACTTTGTAAATGCCAGTTTTCCAAAGTGGTTATACCATTTTACACTCCCATCAACAGTTTATGAATCCAGCTGCTTCACATCCTTGCCAACATTTGGTATTGTCAGTCAGACGTTTTAATTTTAGCCATTCTGGAAGTAGTGTTTCACTGCAGTTTCAATTTGAATTTTCCTGATGACAAGTAAGGTTGAGCACCTTTTTCATTTGCTTACTGGCCATTTATATAACTTCTTCTGTACAGTGTTTATTCTCATCTTTTGCCCACTGTTTTTAATTGGATCATGTCTTTTATTATTGATTTATAGGAGTAATTTTTAAAGTATATTCTGGAAACAAGTCCTTTGACAAATATATGTATTAAGAATATTTTGTCCCAGTCTATGCTTTTGCCCATTCGTTTTCTTAATGGTTTCTTTTTATTTATTTATTTATTTATATTTATTATTTGGCTGCACTGGGTCTTCGTTGCTGCGCGTGGGCTTTCTCTAGTTGCAGCGAGCAGGGGCTACTCTTTGTTGCGGTGCACGGGCTTCTCATTGAGGTGGGTTCTCTTGTTGCAGAGCACGGGCTCTAGGCACAAGGGCTTCAGTAGCTGTGGCTTGCGGGCTCTAGAGCGCAGTCTCAGTAGTTGTGGCGCATGGACTTAGTGGCTCCGCGGCACGTGAGATCTTCCCAGACCAGGGATCGAACCTGTGTCCCCTGCAATGGCAGGTGGATTCTTAACCACTGTGCCATCAGGGAAGTCCCTCAAATTAGTTTTCTAATGTATGGTATCAGGTAGCAGTTAGGTTCACTTTTTTTTTTTTTTTAAGATATAGATTATCCAATTGTTCCAGTACTAGTTCTTGTATACTTACCCTACTGAATTGCTTTGGCACTTTTATTTAAAAAAAACAAAAACGAAATTGTACATACATGGGTCTACTTCTGGACTCTCTATCTGTTCCAATAATATATTTATATATCTTTAAATCATTATCACACTATCTTGATAAACATAATGACTTAATATTAGTGTGAGATCTCTGAGTTGATTCTCCTTTCTTTAAATTTTATCTAGAAAAAGGCTTTTGGGATTTTGATTGATAGCAAGTTGAAACTATAGATCAATTCGGGGAGAAATAAGATAATTTTCATTCTTAATTAGTAGAATTATCTCTGGAGGTTCCTTTCAGAAAACACAGACCCCCCTCAGAGAACAAAGCTCGGAATTACTTTGCCCATACTTTGATAACCTCTTTTTTAAGGATCTTGGTAATGCCAGGTTCAAGATGGAAAAATGTATAGGTAAAAAAGAGTAAAGTGGACCATCTGTACCAGCTTTCTACACAATGATTTTAAGAGCTATGCTTCTCAGTCATGAAATGTTTTGTAAGTGAATATAATGTCAAGGAGAAAAGCACATAAAGGACAGTTCAATTTCTATGCCTTTCTGTTATAATTTTATCCTAATAGTCTTTCAACATAGGGGAAAACAAATACAATTTAATTTTAAAAGAAAATCTAAAAATTAAAGGTCAATTTACTTGAAAAAATGAGCAGCAATCACTTCAATTTGGAATTTACATTCTTGCTTTGCTGTGTAACAAATAAAATTCTTGAGGTAAAATTAGCACACACCTGAATGAATTCCAGGCAATTTAACAACTGTAATCTGTAGTACATAATACATCATACAGAGGAAAAATATGTCCAAAATATTTATGGCCATGGTCTTAAAAATGATCCCTGAATTACAAATATTATGTTTACTTATCTATATAGGGAATCTCTTGGGAAGAATATAAAAATAACTGGTAATGAAAACCTCCATGCAAGGGCACAAGACTGGTCATTGTGGGAAGAGGAGGACGTGTCACTATTATACTCTTTTTTTTTTTTTTAAATAAATTTATTTATTTATGGCTCTGTTGGGTCTTTGTTGCTGTGTGTGGGCTTTCTCTAGTTGCGGTGAGTGGGGGCTACTCTTCATTGTGGTGCGCGGGCTTGTCATTGCAGTGGCTTCTCTTGTTGCGGAGCACAGACTCTAGGTGTGCAGGCTTCAGTAGTTGTGGCACATGGGCTCAGTAGTTGTGGCTTGTGGGCTCTAGAGTGCAGGCTCAGTAGTTGTGGCACACGGGCTTAGTTGCTCGGCGGCATGTGGGATCTTCCCAGACCAGGGCTCGACCCAGTGTCCCCAGCATTGGCAGGTGGATTCTTAACCACTGCACTGCCAGGGAAGCCCCTATACTCTTTCATACTGTTTCAACTTTTTGTTTTGGTTTGTATTTTTTTTTAAAGCAGGTGCATACGTTGTAATATACACATATACATATACCCCTAAGAATGTGACAATCTTCAGAACTAAGCTTCCTCTCAAGCCTAGGAAGGATAATTCAACAATTAAAAAAAAAAAATAGGGCTTCCCTGGTGGCGCAGTGGTTGGGAGTCTGCCTGCCGATGCAGGGGACGCGAGTTCGTGCCCTGGTCCGGGAAGATCCCACATGCCGCAGAGCGGCTGGGACCGTGAGCCATGGCCGCTGAGCCTGCGCGTCCGGAGCCTGTGCTCCGCAACGGGAGAGGCCACAACAGTGAGAGGCCTGCGTACCGCAAAATAAATAAATAAATAAATAAATAAATAATTAAGAACTCAAAAATTAAGTTATACTGAAAGGATGTTCATTATATATAAATGTATCCTGGATTTAAAGGTTCAGTTTCTCATACTCATGATACTCTGATTTCTTACTAATTAAGGTCTAAATTCTCATTTTAGCCCAAATCAAACCCTACCAGAAACCTGGTATGTTTAATTATGTCTAATTAAGGCCAAATTAATAAAAATAGGTATATTTAAAAATATACTCAAAATTAGCAAAACTACACGTACAGAATAAGGCTCAACTCAAAGGACTTCTTTAAATTTTAGTATTAGTAGCTATATGACTCTTTAAATGTTAAAGCAAAGAAAGATATTGTTTTGGCTTGAGTGAAAAATTAAAGAATAATTTAGTGAAGTTTCTCTTTAATTATAGAAAGGGAAAGAACATGAAAGTTAGGTACAAATTGGAAGTGTTAAAGGCTACAAAAAAATGAGTAGCTATTTTTGAATGCAATAAGGATTTTTAAAACATCAGGAATGTTTTATCTCCATTATTTTTTCTATTGTTTTTACAATGTATTCATCCCACTTATTTAGTAAAGCAGACCTTTGATAAAATGACTCAGGATGCCTATTTCATCTCAGAGGTAGCAGCTCCCCTTAGCGTGGGAAGGCAAGAACTGTGATCCAGAATTTCAACTCAGAAACTTTGGGCAACATAAGCAGGACTACCTAGAATGCCCTTGCAAGCCTTGCTCATGACCTTCAATATGGAGCCACTTCATAGTTACCTGGTACACGGGGCTGGGGGTCGCAGCCACTGAATTGGGTTTCACTTCTACTTCCTTACTTGTTTCTTCATCTGAAGAAGAGGACCCTGAATGATAATCAGAGGTAACCTTATCAAGGGCCCTGGTCACTTTCTTGGAAATCTCATCCTTGTTCTCATCCTCATTTTCAAAGCTGGCAACAATGAATGCATTGTTTTTCTCTCCATACCTAAGAATAAAAAAACCAAAAAACTTACACACCTTGAAGTCACATCAACAAAGCAAGGAATGTCCACAAAAACAACTGAACAGGTCTGGACATGCCATCAGTTCCAGGCAAAGAAGGAACCCTCCCAGAACTTGATTCTACATCTATAGTATCTTAACCCAGCTCCATGCCAACAGGCAGGCCACAATTTTCTACTCCTGGTCTATTAAAGTACAAATAAAAAGTGACCTCATTCTCTTTTCCAATTTTCTTTTCTACTGCCTCCTGACAAAAATAGTTGTCTACGATATCAGAGAAACTCATTGTTTTGATTACATTTTTGTACGTACCACTGAAACTGGCCATACAGAACTTTCTAACAAATTTTTAACTGACCCTTATAACAGATCCTAGTAATTCAAGTCAAAAATCAACCAGACATTTCCTATGGGATTTACTTTTACCACGATTAAATAAAAAAGAGGCCTCTGTTTCCTATATCCATACTGACAAAAACGAGAACTGAGGCAACTGTTGAAGTACTACTGTTGAGGAAAATAAAAGGATTTTGCTTGAATTATACTGCTAATTTCACAGAGATTCCTATGATAAATGCTTACCCCCATCTTATTTTTTTTAAATTAAGCAAACGTTTTTATCCTTCCAAAACATTTTTAAAGCTTTGATCTAAGAAAAATAATTGTCAGAACATGTAACTTCGGCTGATGGGTACTAGAAAAAAGGAAAATAAATTCTGCAATGAGGGAAAATAGCACAACACACAGTAAAACTAGGAGTTTTCATTGAGAGGACAGAGGAGAAACCCACAAATCCATTCAAATAGATTGCACAACATAAACAATATGAAACAATTTCTAGGAAGTGTTAGGACAAAGGAAATGAATTGTTAAGCAGTCTTACATAGCATGTAATTAAAGTTAAACAAAGTGATTCTAAGCTTAAAAAATATAAAAACGTCAACAGAAAATAGGGTTAATTGACTATGATGTCAATTAATTTCATTCAGGATAATTCTTATCTCAAATTATTTCTGAATCAGGATTGTATCTACAATTAAGTAAAAGGCCTAACTGCAACAAAGCCTTTGAAAGTTTAAATGGCAATCAAGTAGTCTCACAGGTGAGTTCTGTTTCTTTCAACTGTGCTATCTTCCGTTCTCATAGGCTGGATGAGGCCATAAATGCAATCTAAATATGGTACATAATTTCCTTTTCTATTCTTTTTCAGTCTCTCTCATAAAAGGAGTTGCTGCAGGATGGTGGAAAGAGCACTAGACATGTTTCTGGTTCTGTTCTGTCATTAACTAGCTCTGTTACCAGGTGCAAGTGATTTAATCTCTCCCGGCCTTAGTTTCCTATCTGCAGAGTGAGGAAGCTGAAGATAGCTGGATAGTGGTTAGTCTTCAGCTGGTGATTCTTCTTAGAAGATGCCTGAACAGTGGGAAGGGTTCTTCACAACACAGAATTCATGAAGTATAATTTCAAGATTACTTGGCCTTGGGTTGTAGCAGTGGAAATCTACCCCTTGGTCCTCTCCAGGTTTAAAGACGCAACAAATTTCAATAAAATCAAAGGTTAATTCATATATTAATACCAGCAGTATTAACAATGGGCTTAGGCCTACCTTCAGTATTGCCCATTAATGGAGTCAAAATTCAAGCAAAACAGAAAGGCAAGAAATTTGAGAAAAATCCCTGCCTCTGTAGAAACAGAAACCTAATCCAAGGGCAGACATCTAATGATTGAAGGATCAGCTTTATTAACTCAGGTTTCTTCGACACTCAAGCTCAGTTAGGTTCTGCATTTTTCCCGTGGTAGTATTTTGGTATGAGGGCTCTCTTCAGGGTAAGTGAAGCTACTTACTATATTACTGTAACATTAGAATGTGCAGTTAATTCCTCAGAATTCGTAATGGACAACTTTTAAATTTTCCAAATTTCAATGACACACTGCTAAAACATTCAGGTCTACTGAGTTAATTTGAAACAAATCAATAGTATCTATTGCTCTTTATCAGGAAAAGAAAGGATTACAGAAATTACAAACAAACACACAAAAAAGTGTAGAATATTGAGTAGATAATAAAGCTGCCAGCTATTTGTAGGCCTTCTCCTTATAGGATCTGTTGTCTATTCAGTATCTTCTAAAATATTTCACTTAGTGAAATATTTCTAACTGTATAACACTTTGCACTCTTCCAATATTTATCCTGATGGAATAACTCTATGAAGAATGTTCTCTTTGAGTACATTTCAATTTTTTTCATAACCTTAGTCTTTAGTATACCAATGAGTTATTATTTTTAATGACTCATATTTATTCAATTATATAACTGCTATATCAGCTTTAATTTTCAGAATAGTTCCAGTTTTGGTCCAAAAGCACTAATATCTCAGTCTCCTCTATTAATTTATAGCAATTACCTCTACCCAATCACTAACAGGTCTTTCTTTCTGGGATTTCTATCATTACTGAATGAGCACTCATATTCTGAAAATATCAATAATTTCTATTAACTGTGAAAAACCTCACATCATAGCCAATTTGGGGCAAAATTCTGATCATATATAAAATAATTAGAAGGCTACTGAATGCAAAGATTTTCTTATATTAACAAGATTAAAGCACAGTAATTTTTTATTATCTGGCATCATCAAGTAATGAAGTATCCACTTAAGTAGAATGTCCATGTAACTAAAGCTTTTATCTTCAGGTACCAAGATGTAGTTTAAGCATTTCAAATAAATATGTCCAAAATGTTTATATAATTAGCCAACTTCTTAAACATCCCTGGATATGGAAACTTTTCCCTAATGACTTAAGATCGTTGTATTAAGTATGCATTATTTGATGTTGTGATAATACATTTGGGTCAACTCTTTGCTTTTTTGTTCCTGCCTCTATGTCAGACTATTACTTTTTTTTGTAGCTTTATGACAACGGTATCCTGGGGGATTGGTTCCAGGACCATCCCTGCCTCCCTCCAATGCCAAAATCTGTGGATGCCCAAGTACCTTAAATAAAATGGCATGGTACTTGCATACAAACTATGCACACCCTCCCATACACTTTAAATCATGTCTAGATTTACTTATCATATCTAATACAATGTAAATGTTATATAAATAGTTGCATGGCATGGCAAATTCAAGTTTTGCTTTTTGGAACTTCTTCCCCCCCCTCCCCCCAAATATTTTTGAACTAAAGTTGGTTGAATGCATGGATGTGGAACCCTCAGATACAGAAGGCCAACTGTACTAGGAACAATCCCCTTTCAAATGCCACGTAATTTTTTATGGGCTGAAAAACTACACAACTAACTTAAAAGAACTGTGTGTTAAGTAAGAGTAAATCATGATCAAAGTGTGGGCCTCATAAAAAGTAAACATTTCAATATAGTAACTTTGTGATAGCTATTTCTTGTATACTGAGGTCTTCTGCAGGGATTCATTCAGTGGTCCAAGTCTATAAAACAAAGTCTGATCCTGGCCTACGGTAAGTGCTTAATTAGTCCCAGACTCTAAAAATGTTTGACCTTCTTAGACCAGAAATTGAGGTATCTTGCTCTTCCTTTTTCTGAGAAATAAGTATTGGAGAATCTACTACCTACACCCGGTTTCCCAAAGCAATAAGCTTATATAAGCCACCAGCTTATATCAAGCAGCTCCAGGGTGGTCCAGAAAATGGTTGCAGGATTACCATGTATTTTTCCAACATGTCTTCACCACCACTTTCACTGCTGGAGATCAGGTCAAAGGCTATGACCACCTTTGGAACATATTAGGGTTGCATCAAAAAGCACCTCTACTATAATCAATGGGTGAACTGTACCTCTAAACCAAAGAGAAAACCCTAAAGGAACAGCTGTAGGAAATTACTCACAGGGGTTCCATGCATCTATTTATCCTGTTCCTCCTGCCTGGAAATGTCCTTCCAACCTTCCAACCTTGTCATCTAGTCAACTGCAACTCATCCTTCCCCACTCAGCTCAAGTATCACCTACTCTACAGTCAGCCCTCCATATCCATGGGTTCTGCATCCATGCATTCAACCAACCACAGACCAAAAACATTTGGGGAGAAACAATCCAGAAAGTTCCTAAAAGCAAAACTTGAATTTTTTTCAATTCAAGCAACTATTTACATAGCATTTGCATTGTACTTACAACTATTTACACAGCATTTACATTGCATTAGGTACTATAAGAAATCTAGAGATGATTTAAAGTATATGGGAGGTTATGCATAGGTTATATGCAAATACTACACTATTTTATATAAGGGACTTGAGCACCCGAGGATATTGCCTCTGTGTGTGTGCATGTGGCCGGGGCGGGGGCATGTTCTGGAACTAATCCCTCACCAATACCAAGGGCTGACTATAGTCTTTCCTGAGGCAGTGACTTTCTCCTTTGTGCCACCAACTACTGCATTTTGTACATAATTCTATTATAGCACAAATCACACTCTGTTGTAATCTGCTTTTTCTTTCTTCTCCCTTATTACACTCTGAACTACCTGAATGTCATTTTCATTTTTTAAAAACCCTACAACTAAGAATGCCTGGTCCAAAATGAGTATTTTTATTTTATTTATTTATTTATCTATTTATCTATGGCTGTGTTGTGTCTTTGTTGCTGCGCGCGGGCTTTCTGTAGTTGCAGGGAGCGGGGGCTACTCTTCGTTGCGGTCCACGGGCTTCTCATTGCAGTGGCTTCTCTTGTTGCAGAGCATGGGCTCTAGGCACGTGGGCTTCAGTAGTTGCAGCACTTGGGCTCAGTAGTTGTGGCTCGCAGGCTCTAGAGCACAGGCTCAGTAGTTGTGGCGCATAGGCTTAGTTGCTCCACAGCGTGTGGGATCTTCCTGGACCAGGGCTCAAACCTGTGTCCCCTGCCTTGGCAGGCCGATTCTTAACCACTGCACCACCAGGGAAGCCCACAATGAGTATTTTTAGAATGAAGTTCAATTAGATTTCATACCTAACACTCACTTTTTCAATTCTGCTCATTAGGAGACAAGAAATAATTTCCATTATGAAAATAAAACCATGAAAATATCACTCAGCCACTTAAAAACCAAAAAGGGGGAGGGAGGCAAGAGTAGAAACAAACAGAAACAGAAATCAACCAAAAGTTAATATCAAGTATTATTTGGGATTAGCGTCTTTCCTAATTTGAAAAGGGGAAAGACAAGGGCACCACCAATGAAAGAAGATATAATTGACCTATAGGGAGTCTAGGTGTCTAAATTCTACAACAGAGTTCTTGGTAAAGCTCTAAAAAAAAAACCCTGCTCTATCAGTTTTTGAGTTTCTTTAGCTGTAAAACAGGAATGTAACCAGTCTTTCACTATCACTTCCAAGAAGAATAGTTTACAAAATTCACAGCTGAGAAAGCCAAACAACCAGCTCCTGGCTATAAAAATACATGTGTAGGCAGTACCTGAGAGAATTTCATAAAATCAGTTCCAGCATGGTAATCAGTTAAGCTGCCAAACTCAAGAACTCACCGACAGCACACCTCACATGGGTCCACCCATAGAGTGAGTTCCTTTGGCAAGCCCAGGTCACTGTACAAAATGCAGCTGTTCTCACAGGCTTTCAGGACATCAGGATCAACTCTCTGAAACTTATTGACACGAATGCATCTACAACAAAGTGGAGTAATGTTAATAGCTTTAAATAAATGTAAATCAGAAACTTTGTTATATCTATTAGTTTTTGCCAACATGAATTTAAAAAAATTAAATGAACCCTGGCAAAGAACCCAGGAATATCTATTCTAAATAGATAATAAATCTGAACTAAAGGCAAAGAGGCAGCAGCATCATCAAGACTACCCAGCCTGGTGGAAAGAAGAGTCTGTGTGAGCACAGGGAAATCACTAGAACTGGCTCTACTTCATTTCACACAGAAACTACTCAATCTCACACGTACATTAAATGAGCAAGGAGTATGAAAGTTGCGAGAAATTACTTAGAGCTTTGAAGTAAAAGCTTTAATAGGTCAAATTCCTATATAACAAAATCTCCAACTCACAAAAGACCTCGAGCAAGGCGTATGAAAGTTGCGAGAAATTACTTAGAGCTTTGAAGTAAAAGCTTTAATAGGTCAAATTCCTATATAACAAAATCTCCAACTCACAAAAGACCTCGACCAATGGTTCAAATAATATTTGGAAATTCTTGTGACAAGTTTTGATCTGTTGTTACCTTGCTTAAGAAGGGTATCCTATGCCTTACCTATAATTGTTCTCTAAATACCGAATCAGTCAAGGACACAGAACCATTCATACCATGTACTTAAGATTAAAATATAATCCAGGGACTTCCTTGGTAGTTCAGTGGTTAAGAATCTGTCTTCCAATGCAGGGGATGCGGGTTTGGTCCCTGGTCGGGGAACTAAGACCTCACACCGCAACTAATGAGCCGGTGCACTCTGGAGCCCGCATGCCGTGATGAGAGAGAAGCCTGCGCACCGCAACAGAAGATCCTGCATGCCACAATGAAGATCCTGCATGCCACAACTAAGACCCGATGCAGCCAAATAAATTAATTAGAAAAAAAATCCAAAAGTGTTATTGACTTATTTCACTTAACCTCTGTTACTCGAGTTTTCTTTTTTTAAGTTATCGAAAGAGAGAAAAAAATTCTAAACCACTAAAGACTGTTCCTTTTTTTTTTTTTGGTCGCACCACATGGCTTGCAGGGATCTTAGTTCCCCAACCAGGAATCTAACCCATGCCCACAGCAGTGAAAGCACAGAGTCCTAACCACTGGACTGCCAGGGAATTCCCATCTGTTCCAATTTTTCTAACCTAAGAAATACCATAAATACCATTCACAGCTACCTATCAGAATGCTCAAAGATGGTTCTCAGTATGAATGCAAAAATACCTGTTAAAATAAGTATTCTGCTTACATAGAGAAACGTTAGCTACAATGAAAGTATTTACTGCCTACAACTAAGAAATCAATCAAGAGAACCCAGGTTTTAGTATGAGTCCTGAGTACTAGTATTATTAGGTGAATTTAGATTAAGTCATTTTACTTCTCCAAAAATATAAGTTAATTGACAAATACTGATTATATCACTAAATACAATACTGTAACATCAACAGAATAAGGTACTATTTAAATTTTTTTAAAGTTTAATTATTAATTTCAACTTTCATTTAAAACAGTGAAAAAAGTTCTCATTAGGTAACAGCTAATATGTATTTCTAAATAATAATAATAATAACTCTTTTTGAAGGTTTACCATGCAATGGAGAGTCTTCTGAATGCTCTGCATGTACAGGCATACCTCAGACATTGCAGGTTTGGTTCCAGACCACAGCAATAAAGCGAGTATCTCAATAGAGCTAGTCACACAAATTTTTGGTTTCCCAGTATATATAAAAGTTGTATTACAGTACACTGTAGTCTATTAAGTGTGCAATAGCATTATGTCTAAAAAACAATGTACATAGCTTAATTAAAAACTACTTTATTGCTAAAAAATGGTAACCATCTGAGCCTTCAGCAAGTCTTTGTAACAGTAACACCAAAGATCACTGATCACAGATCACCAAAACAAATATAATAATGAAAAAGTTTGAAATACTGTAAGAATTACCAAAATGTGACACAGAGACACAAAGTGAGCAACTGCTGTTGGAAAACTGGCACTGACAGCCTTGCTCAATGCAGCTGCACAAACCTTCAGTTTATAAAAAATGCAATGTCTGTGATGCGCAATAAAGCAAAGCACAATAAAATAAGGTATGCCTATGTTAACTTTTTAAATTTTCACAATGATCCTGTGAGTTAGATACTATTTTCCCCACTGTAAAAAAAGAAAGGAGGCAGAGAGAGTTTGAGTAACTTGCCCAAAATTACACAGCTAGAAAGTAATGAATCCAGAGCTCAGATCCAGACGAGATGCCAAAGTTCACTTTATTAAACAACCCTATTATGCCTGTACTTATCGTAACATCACCGTTAACAATTTAGCAAATTCAGAGTAAAAAAAAAAATATTTTAAGCCATGTAAGATACTCTTTATTCCTTTCTATAAGATGGTCCTATGTTATAGATTCTAATGTTGTGTAAGTTGATTCAAAAGTCCCACGTGCACCAGAATCAAAAGCAATTAAGCGTAAGGTAGATCTTAGATGTATGTGTTTGTTTTTTTTATCTACAATGCGGGAGATGTAGGCTCTAAGCTTAAAAAAATATATGTAAATATAGATGCTTAAATAGAGACTCGCTTCAACAAAATTTGCATACCTTACATATTTTTATGCTATTTTTTTCACTCTAGATACTGCGACGATTTACCCATTAACCACTCTTCAAAAACAAGATTTTAAAAGCTGCATAAAAATAGTCCATTGTTTACTTAATGTTGACAGTGTAGCGCTTTCCAATTTTTTTGCAATTATAAAGTGTAAGAAATATCCATATTCATACATATTTGTCTGCATTTCTGATTATGCTTCTAGAATAGATTTTAGGAGATTTACTTTTCAAAGACTGTGAATATTTTTATAGATCTTGATAATGTTACCAAATTGCTCTTATTTGTATAAGAGAAACATACCTCCCTGCAGAGAAACATACTAATTTATAAAAACTTTAGAAGAAAAAGAACTTTATGGATTGAAGAGTCTACTAACCCTGGTTAATCCTATAGTCTATTCATTTTTATAAAAGAAACGACCCACAATTAACTCTAATAGTTTTCTATTTCAAAGACGGCTTCAAAATGACTCAATAATGATACTTCTGATTATATGCCAATTTAATCCTGTGGATAACTTTTTTCCTCAAGTTTTTAGAATTAATGGAAATAAAATTGTACACTGTCTGACCTTTAAGCATTTACTTGATAGTGTCTCCTTTTTCAGTAATAGTACGGTGGCTTGGCACTTCCAAAAGCCTTAGTCCAATGTCAATTACATCAGTGTAAAAAGCTTGAACAGCTGTAATTCACAAAAGCTGTTCACTCTATCAGAAATGAAGATGTGCAGAAAAAAATTAAGAGAATCAAGTGAGAGGATAAAAAACAGTAACTTGAGTGCTTTATATAGAACATCCACATTTCTACTTTCACTCACCACATTTTCCAATATACTAGGAAACCTCTTTGGATAGAAATGAAGAGGAAAATATATCAATTACTTTGATTCTTTTCTTTTCAACAGATCATATGCTCACCTGGCTTTTAGCAAATGAGAACTAAACAAATCATATTTTCACCTCCCTTGCACACTCCGTGAACAGTCTTACACTTTCAAGAGCTCAGCGACTGAAAGGAAGTTCTTTTTACTGTGAAGGGCTGATTTGTGGAGGAATCTTTGGGGACAGAAATATGCATAAATAAAAGAATTTCTGTATTCATGATAGTCACAACTGTTCCACTTTTATTTTTTTGGTCACATCCACAAATGGGGCATGGTTTGAACAGCTGAGTTTAGCAGAATATTCTCAACTCAGGTTCCCAAGTAGTCACATAAATACTAAAGAGTGAGCATGCCAGGACATGTTTTACAGGAGGCTGCTCTTCTTTAAACTGTAAATGTAACATAAACCACAGTACAAAAGATAGCTGGGAGTGAGAATTGCCTTCACTCTCAGAGACAAGGCTGTGGGAGGACTGTGGTATACAGAAAGCTCATAAGAATTTAGGGTCAGTGAGACCTGAATTCAAATCCCAGAGCTAATATTTACCAGTTGTGAATCATAGGTAAGTTACCCTCATCTATAAAATGGTTACAATGGCTTCTACCACGACGAATTATGCACAGTACAAATGAAATTATTCCTGTGTCAAGAACATGTTAGGTGTCTAATAATCTTAGTTCTCATTTGCCAAAAAACTTCTAACACGTAACATGTAATTTACTTTTAAATACAAGGAACTCATTTCCCTCAACCCTTACCATGCCCCCTTTTAAGTGATAGTTTTAGGGGTTCTCTACAATTGGGAAAGCCCTCAACTACCTGTGATACTTAAAGAAAAACACTCAGGAACCACACTATGACCACAAGACTAACTCCCATGAGCCTATACTATTGGCCCCCCAAGTCCAGGCAGTGGGACTCGAACAACGAATACTTGTATTTTAAAGTGAATAAGGAAAAAATACAACTGACACACTCCTGAGTTGGGTATTTTGCAGATAAACTGTGAAAGGCATGGACTGGACACACCCATCATTCCTCTGGCCTGGCACTCATCTGAGGAGCTGATCAGCCTCTTCATTTAGTCCAATCTAACTGTCCAAGCTATTCCTTTACCTGTAGGCCTGTCCTTTTGATGGTTTTTCCGGATACCAGTGATTTTTATATTTTTCTTGAAGTATTAGAGTCAATTTCTCAGCAAACCTCTCGACTGCTTCTTTTTTCAACTTATCATGTTTTCGAACTAGCCTTGTGAAAAAGAAGACTACGGCAGCAATTTCGTTCTTCATCTTTCCCTGCAAAGATAAAATAGTTTTTCTCAAAAAACCAAAACATCAAAACTTGAAGATAAAGCTCTGCAAAATATCCCTCCTTTACAGCAGCACCCCTTCCTCCTTCTAATTTTATCTTGTTTCACTGGTTCATATCTGGAGTAGGGAACAGTCACTAATTTATGCCATAAAGACCTTATTATAAAATACTGTTCAAGAGTCTTATCACCTAGCTTTGTAAAGGAGCTCAGTAAAGAGAGCACACCAAATTGCTCCTGTTAGCTAAAATAAAATCAGAGATATCACTCAAAGAGAAGCATTACAATGATACCATTATATAGTTTTTACTTAAATGTGTCAATATTTAGCTACAATAATTCAAGTTTAAAGTTCTATGAAATAACTTGTATTTTAAAACATAAAAAAGTCCACTTTAAAATCCAGTATTGTAGAGCCACTACTTTGGCAGTTCCTAAAAAGGTCAGATATATAGCTACCATATGACCCAGCAATTCTACTCCTAGCTCTATACCCAAGAGAAATGAAACCATATGTTCACACAAAAACTTGTACACAAATGTCCATAGAAACATTATTCATAATAACTAAAAAGTAGAAATAAACTAAATGTTGATCAACTGATAAATGGACAAATAAAGTGTAGTATATTATTCGGCAACAAAAAGAAATGACATGCTGATATGTGCTACAACATGTATGAAACTTGAATACGTTATGCGAAGGGAAAGAAGCCAAAAGACCAAATACTGTATGACACCAATTATATGAAATGTCCAGAATAAGCAAATCTATATAAACAGAAAGTAGATTAGTGGCCTAGGGGTAGGAGGATGGGGGGGAAGGAGTGATGTCAGTGAGTATAAGATTTCCTTTTGAGGTGATGAAAATGTCCTAAAATTGACTGTGCTGATGGCTGTACAACTCTGTGAATGTACTAAAACCGAAAACCTGTACATTTTAAATGTGTGAATCGTATAGTATGTGAATTATATTTCAATAAAGCTGTTATACACAAAGAAAAAAAATCCATTATCGAGCTTCTGTAAGCACTCTTTCAAGAACAGAGATATATTTACCTAAAAAATATGACCAAAAAACCCCAGCTCTATCAAAACATATTTGAGAGAGTGGAAATTCAGGGTCATTCACAGAAAATCTAAAAGAAATAATCAGAGATTCAGCTGCATATTGGAACTGCCTCAAGAAGGACTCTTTTTAAATGACAGATCTGATTTATCACTGATTAATGCATAAAGGCAAAAACCTTGTACTGGGATTGTTTCGATGTATATTCTGTCTTTGCTTGATGAGCTCATTTATTTGGCTGCTGTAAGTAACTTGGAGTTATTCAGATGCTGCGTTTATTAAGCAACATCACCTTTTCAGAGCCAATTATTAAAGACATACAGCCCCTGTTATGTTTAGTGCAAAAACTGACCAACCCAGCCTATAGTTTGTGTTCTTTCACATTTAAAAAATACAGCTGATTCTGTTAGCTTCCTTTTTCTTTTCTCAAAGTTGCTCTTAAAGTCCGTCTTCATAAGATTCCTTTCCTCCTTGTGCAAATTCAAACAAGGGACCTCAGTGTGAAATAAATTCTATATGTTATTTGAGAGGTGTGCTGGCAGCCATGGCCACCCTGATGCTAGATGGGAAGACACCCAGACCTTCCTCCTGGAAACCCTAGAATGCCAAGTCTACCTTCTATGGCCAGCTGCACACAACCCCAGCCCTCCACAACTGCTGTGCAGCCTCCTCCTGAAAAAAAGTCAGCCATTTCCACTTATAAAGCTATATTTATACTCCACCACGTTATGATGGAAAAGAAAACCCACTGCAATTTAATACATGGTTTGGGATGAAACTTGCTGATGGAACTCCATTAGCCTCCACCCCACCAAAGAAAACTAGAAAGGTACTCAATCCCTAACTAGCTCATTCTCCTTATTCATTAAATTGGCCAACTATGTTCCACATATCTGAGTTTTGTTTTCCTTTTATTTTTTCTTCCCTGTTTCATATCGAAAAATAAAAGGAAGAAAGGAAGGAAAAGAACCACTTAGTGGTGGCTTTGGGTTGTAACACAAGATGAGTCATATGGAATTACTTTTTTTTTTTTTTTTTCAGTTTGAGGGAATGATGCCTGGAAGAGCTGAGAATTTAACCCACCTCCACCGGTCAGTATTCTAGGAGTACCAAAAGGGCAGCCCTAGAGGGGAGAGTTATGAGGTCAGGGAGAGAGAAACCAGAAGCCAGCAGGGCCAAGAAGCCCTTAGGCGCCCCGAGTAAGTCGCCGCAATTCCTCCACCCACACTCGGAGCGAAAAGCTCCCATTTTAAACATCGCACGGTGACGTCATCCTCGGACGTAGCCACCGAGGCGGCTGCCCCTCAAGTTCTACTTTGTTCCACAGGGTCCTCTGCTCACGGCGGCGGGGAGAGAACCCAAAGGAAAACCCAGTCCTGCCTTCCAGGAGTTCATAACTTTGTACTTTTCCCTCTCTTGTAACGAAGAGCTTCATCGCGGCCGTTTCTAGAAACAAGTATTTCTCCCGACAGACGTTCCCAAGGTTGAGGAAGGGGGGGGGTGGCGGGGGGAGGTCCCGGCCGCGGGGGGTGACGAGCCCTCGACCAGGCTCCGCGTTGACACAAAGCGGGCTCTGGACCCCGAGCGACAGGATTCCCACGGGGCCGGGAGTTGAGCTTTGTAAGCCATCCAAGCCTGCTGCTCGGCACTCGCGCTTGGGTTTGAAGAGCGCCGGGTGAGTAGGCACCAAACGTCCCCACCCACTCTTGGAAGAACGGCCTGCACGCGCGTCCAACTTCTGCAATCGCGGGTTTTCCTGAGTTAAGGGGGCAGCGCCCCGAGCCCCCTTCCCTTCCTCCCGCGAACAGCCTCGCAGGGTCCGCAGCCCCCGGGAAGGCTCCAGCCTCCGGCAGCTCCGGGTTCAAGGACCGGGCTCCCCTCAGGCGCGACTCCCCCCCGCCCACCCAGACAGCGAGCCGGATCCCCGGATCCAGAAAACCCACAGACGCGGAGGGGGAGGGGGCGTGGGCAGGCGCAGGGCTGTCGCCCACCGCGAGCAGAAGGTAACGCGCGGTGAAAACGTGGCAGGAGCCTCGAGGCGGCGTCTCCTCCGTCGCGATGCCGCTGAGGGTCCCGCGGAAACGCTCGCGGGCCGCCCCCCTCCGTCCCCAGCCCTTCCTTCGCGCCGGGCCAGAGCCGATGCAAGCAGGTTCGACCCCGCACTCCTCCTGGTTCCCCCGCGCGCTGCCCGCCCGCGAGCCTTCGACGTGGCCGCAAAGGCGCTCGGACCACCCTCCTCCCGAAGCCCTCAGCCCCGCCATGTCCGCCTCCTCCCGGCCCGGTCTCCTCACCGCCGCCGCCTCTGCTCTGGGGCCACAGATTCCCTCCTGGCCGGGAACCGAGGGCGCCGCCTCAGCGGGCCGGCGCTCGGCGGCAGTGAGCGCGGCGAGCCTAGTCTGGCGCGTGCGGCTCCCGCGTCGTCGGGCGGCCGAGCGCGCGCTGAGAGGGCGGGCTGGTGGGCGCGCGCGCGCGCGCGAGCAAGCGAACGCTGCTCTGAAGCGGCGCGCGGGGGGCTCGCGGCCCGGAAGAGAGGAGGGGCGATGACCCGGGAAAGGGATGGCGCCGCGCGGGACCGGCTCGCGCTCCTGGGGGGGAGGAGCCAGAGGCAGGGCTTCGTCGACGTCCCGCCCCCGAGGCTCCGGCCTCGCTGTGCGAGCCTCGAAGCGCTTTCAGTCTTGCGACGCGCCAGCGGAGCTTCGGCTCAGACGGCGAGGGACGCAGCACCACGGGCTTCCCTCCTCGGGAAGGAACGGCGCTGAGAGCCGAGCGGACCCTCGCCAGCCCGCCCTACCTGCTGCAGCGTCTTCGGGGGTCGCGTGGGCCACTTCCCCTGTGCTGCCTGGGCCTCTGCTTCCCCGTCTCGTTTCTCCTTGTCGCCCTGCGCCCTGACACCCTCCGGCCGGGAGGGCGAATACTAGACCCTGCTCTGTAGAGGTCCAGTTCTCTAGACCTGGGGCTTCGGGGGCGGGTTGGGGGGCGTGGGGGTCTACACAGATCAGACGGAAGGCGGACTTTGCCTTTGTGGACTGATGCTCTTCCTTGCTGTGTTAGTTACGGGCACGTCAGCTGTGCAGCCGCCTTGTGATCTTTCAGTTTGTTTCGAAGTCCTAGTTGGACCCCTCCCTGGCCGGGCTGGTGGCTCCCTCAGAGCAGGGACTGCCCCCTGTTGACCCTTGTGTCCCAGCTTGGCACTGAGTACAGTGTCTTGCACGAAGGAGGGGCTGCAGGGATGTTGGCTGAATGAAACCTTCAGAGTCCAAGCTTTCTATTTCCCAGCCACTTCTAGTCAAGGACTTCCAGATACAAAGCTTAATCTTTGAACAAATACAAATGTGGAAAAGGTAACGTTAACTTTATGAAAAAAAAGAGGAACATCTTTCCAACCTTTTGTATTGAACTGGCGCCATGGTATTAGTTTTGTGAAAGCACTTTAATACATTAAACAGGCCAGAAAAAGACAAGATATTTCTACTTTTTTTTAATTAAAAGAGAGCCAGCTTTCACTGTTTCTAGCCAAAACATATTGTAAATTACTCAAGAAATGATTGTTCAAGTTATACGTTGACCAGATATTTCACTGCCTGCTATGCCTGGGAGCATGTTTTCAGCTCAGTTCTATGAATATTTAAAATTTGTGTTACTGATGGTGAGTATAGCCTATTCGCAATTCAAAACGTTAATGCTTTTAGCAGTAAAAAATATGCAATTCCCAAACCAGTACAATAAACTTTATTTGTATTAAAAAAAAGAAAAAGTATACTGTTCTACCCAGAGCTGCTCACTGGCCAATTTAAGGAGGATACTTATATTCACACCCTAGTCTATTCTAGGAGATATGAAGGTGTTTTCATTCTAATCTCATAACACTCTGATTGAGGTTATTTTACTGATGAAGGCTTTTCTCTCTACAATTTCATAAAGTAGCTAGGCAGGGCTTCCCTGGTGGCACAGTGGTTGACGCAGGGGATGCGGGTTCGTGCCCCGGTCCGAGAAGATCCCACATGCTGCGGAGCGGCTGGGCCCGTGAGCCATGGCCGCTGAGCCTGCGCCTCCGGAGCCTGTGCTCCGCAACGGGAGAGGCCACAACAGTGAGAGGCCCGCGTACCGCAAAAAAACAAACAAAAATAGCTAGGCAGTGACAAACACTACTCAGAATTTGTCCAGAAATTTCTAAAGCTCAAGATTAGTATTTGATGTTTATAAATCTGTGACCCGCATGGCCCAGTCTTACTTAGAGCACTACTCTACTCAAAACACACAGGCAAGTACCTGAAACCTAATTTCAAAATACAAAAAATTCTTATAGCCTAGACACTGCGAAGCAGATAAATAACAAACAATGGATCTTAAACACTTCTCTTTTCTCTCTCATCCACTGTTCTCACACAAGGTAGCTGCTTGTGTGCCTGTCTTTCAAAACGCCCTACTCTTCTCCAGTCCTGGCTGCGTGCTTTGGATCTTTCCCCCCAGCTCTCTTTCCTCCTAATTCAGAACCACACAAGCCCAAAAGAATTGGTCTCAAGTCAGGACCCTCCTCTTTAGGAGGCTGGAAAAGGGGAGCAGAGCTGATACAAACAGTTACCCATTAGTATGGATTTTTCCTTTCACAGTTTCTTTCTTTTCTCAGTTAACTCTGAATGTTCACTAAGATCGTGTGTTAATAGATGTAGTTTGCTTTTAGCACAGGCTGTTTCTTTGGAAAATGAGCCACCTAAATAGGGCAGGGCCTCTATAATCCCATACATCCTGTGGTTGTATCACAAAGTCACAGAGACCACGACTCAACAATCACCAAAATCTATGAATAGCTTCCAAAATCAGGACTTATTTTTTCACTAAATAAGTGTAACTCTTTCAAATCTGTTATTCCTTTTGAGCTCAGAGAAGTTCAGCATTGAAAACAGAACAGTGTCAGGCAACACCTTCTCAATCCACATGTGTCAAGTTTGAATCTGAATACAAAACCACCCACTTTTATAGTGGACAGAGAGAGTTCTGTTATATAACATCAGGGGAAAGTGTGCAGCCTTTGGGGGCCTTTGGAGGTCTACCAAGTGGGATTTAAGACTTTTTAATTCTAAAAACACTTCAATATATTTCTTCAAAAATTTCCAGGACCTAACCACCTGGATAAATTAAAACAAACTAAATCTATAATACTTTCTTTGCTTTGACTTCTTCAATATCCACAAACTGGCAGTGGTTTAAAAAAACATAAGCATAAAGGAAATTTGTAATCTTCATTATTTTCTCCATTACATCATGCAATAAAACTGACTTCCAAGAGTCGCAGCATAAACTCTCCTGATGAATGAAGCAATGGAAACTGAGCAAACCAACCTCTTACAATGAGTTGCATTAACTCTTAAAACCCTCCTCCCTGCCCCCCCCCCAACTATAGCCCATCTTTTTTGGAAGAAAATGTTTTGATTAAAGCTCTCAGTTTCTTTATTGGAAATTGGTTAGGATTTGTCAATTCATATGAACTGGCTTAGGCAAATGTATAGGTTATAGTGCTTAGGTAGGCTGTACACTCTGGACTCAAATAGAACTTCGTACTGGAAACTTCTGGTGTAAGATTTCCATGCTTGCCAGAAGAGGTGCCATCGTTGTTGGGTTCCTTTGACAATACTCTCTTGTTCTTCATACCAACAGAGAAACAGACTTCCATTAATTAGTATATAAACTCCTACCCTTATTCAGTATAACAAAAGTAAGACTATAGATATATTCATTTAGCAAAACATTCAGAAATGTTGTAAAAGAACTGCTTAGAAACACAACTGTGTTAGAGTTCTCTGGATACATATATGGATACAGAGATTTATTTTAAGGAATTGGCTCATTCAATTGTGGAAGCTGGCAAGTCTGAAATTTGTAGGGCAGGGGGCAGGCTGGAAACTTACACAAGAGTTAAAGTTGTAGTCTTGAGTCCAGAATCCATAGGGGTGATTTTTATGTTAAGGTGTTGAGGAAGGAATGGTATCCCTCCTACTCTGGAAAACCTCATTTTTTGCTCTGAAGGCCTTCAACTTGTTGAAGCCCACCTACATTATTGAGGGTAATCTCCTCCTTTAAAGTTCATTGATTGTAAATGTTAATCACGTCTACAAAATACCAATCACAGCATCATCTAGACTAGTGTTTGACCAAACAACTGGGCACCATAGTCTAACCAAGTTGACACATAAGATTAACCATCACAATGACCTTCATTCAATAGTATTTCCTCAAAGGCATGTGATAAGTAGGTTTAAAAAGATAGATCCCTTAGTGAACACTGTAAAGCATGCTTTCAATAAGAAAACAACTCCCTTTGTTTTTATTTTTCTTTGCTCTTTTCAGTCAGTTGTGTGGTGATGGGGATGGTTGGGGACGGGATGAGGGAGGGAAGATTGGATGTTGGTCTTCAGGTGGCTTCTTCTGCTTAATATTAAATATTTGTGCTAGAGTATTGGGGACAGTGTGTCCATTAGGGAGGATCAAAAGATGAACAAATAAGCTGCTCACAATCTAGTGGGAGTTAGAGACGTGAACAATCTACCTTACATATTACAAGTTGTATTATATTGATAAATTAAGTGCCACAGAAAGGTATAAAGGCAATAGTAATGTAGGCATAAAAAAGGTTTTGGATGTGATTGGGCTCCCAGCTAAAAGGAAGTTTCACAGACTTGGAGGGCAACATTGCAAACCTTCCTTAATACTTTTTCAGTACAGGAGGGTGGAGGGGGAGATGCCATACGCATAAGGAAATTGCTCCCAAGGCAGTCAGTCCCTTGATGCGGCAACATCAGTTGCACCACAGAGATGGCTAGAGTTACTCAAATTCACACAGCAAGTCCTAACACTTGATGGCTTAATTAGGGCGATTATGGGTAAGCTTTAAAAAATCTGCTTTGTCAGCAGATGATCCAATAGATGTTACCATAAAGAGCATATTCCCAACCCACACCCAGCCCAGGAGAGGCTCAAAACATGGAACTAAAGTTAGTACATTAATATTTTGTGATGTAGTTGGAGAAAATATTTTATAATTGTGTTTATAGGAGTATTTTAGGTACTTTAAATAATTGCAGCAGGTCAGGAATTTTTCTATCTTGTAGGAAGATTTCAGCAACTCTTTGTGATACAAAACGTTTTTTATATATATATATATGACATATACGTATATATACAGATATATATTTAGATGTATATTTGTAATACATATAGATAGATATTTATGTAACATACATAACATAAATAAATAAATAAAACCTTTATCTCTGAGAGAAAGAATAAGACAGAGAATGAGAGAGTCATGATACAGAGAGAAAGATTTATGACAGAGTTGGGTTTTTTTTTAAGTGTTTTAATGTTTTTATACTAGCCTAAAGTGCTCACGAATACTTTTTTTTTTTTTCCCAGAAGGAAAGTTGGTGAGAGTAATAAGCTAGCTATGACCCATATCATGAGCAACCACTAACACACAA